ACTAGAGGCCAGACAACAAGCCCTTTTGGTGTGTCTAGAAAGTATCAGGAAACTACTACTAACAAAGCTGTTCACTAGCAGGACCAAAGCAAGGAAGTGGTCTTCAAATATTTGCCCTAGAATAGCCAAGAAAATCCAAGACACTGAGAAGTTAGCTGCAAGTTTGATTGGATATCAGTGTGGTGACAATGATTTTGAGATAATGGGAAGCCATGGTAACCAACATGGTGTGGATTTGGAGAAGAGAACATGCACTTGCAGGCAGTGGGACTTAACTGGGATCCCCTGCAAGCATGCAATCTGTGCTATATGGCTAAAATTTGGAAAAGGCCCTGTTGATGCATATGTCCACCCATGTTATTCCAAGGACACCTATCTGAAGATCTATGCAGGGTCCATAAAGCCAATGGCAGGCCCAGATGAGTGGCCTTGGTCTGATAGACTTCCCCCTCTTCCACCCGTATATGCTGCTAGAGCCGGAAGACCAAGAAAACTAAGGAGGAAATCTGCAGTAGATCTGAGCACAGATGGTGTCCGAGTTGCAAGAACACATATTAAATTGCATTGTTCAAAGTGCAAGAAGGCTGGTCACAATGCTAGGAGATGTCCGGATGATCTTAACAAGGAAAAGCTGGTATAGTCTGCATCTAATTTTTGTAAGCTTATTTTATTATTATAGTATATTGTGTATAATGTGTGCACTAACTACTATGTGTTTACATGTAATCAGCTGCAACCTAGAAAAAGAAATAGGAAACCAAAGAGCAAGCACAGTGTTGGAGTGCATGATAGAGATGAGGAGCCTAGAGATCAGTCCACCCTATTTGATGACCTCAACCTTATTGACATTACCATGCAGTCTGCTGAAGGAGCAAATTTTGCAACTCAGGTTCCTATTGTTGTGAGTATAGAGGACACTGCTATGTTCACTCAAGAAACACAGGTCAGTCAAGACTCATAAGATAGCAAAGAAGAAACCTTAGAAGGGAGCAAACAAGAAGAGAGCCCCAAAGGAGAGAGTGAAGAGGTTTCAGAAGAAGAGACTGTTGGGACATACCAGAGGACAAAAGAAGGGGTTAGGATATGCTATGGACCACCCCCTTGTCAAAAGAAGAGCAGTTCAAATGTAGTCAAACGACCTAAAGTGAATCCGAGACCCAAACTGAGCATTAAAAGGGGCCCAACATATGCTACTAGATCAAAAACAACTTTCAAATCAGTCTTCTATGGAAATGATGATGACCCCATTGATATACAATAATGGGTGGACTAAAATGTGTATTCATGGTGCTACTTTGATTATGTAATGTAGTACATTTTTTGCTTTTTGGAACTGATGCTACTGTATTGGTATAGCTTCTATGTTTTTGAGATACTTTGGCTATTCATGATCTCAGTGTGATCATGTAATGTATGGATTAGCATTTTGGTTTTCAATGATATCATGTATTTGGATGATCTGATGTAATGTATGTATGGATTAGCATTTTGGTTTTCAATGATGTCAGGTTTATGGATGATCTCATGTAAGTTCAAACAATGGTAGTGATGTATTAACAGGTTGTCAAGTTTGTCAAGTTTGTCAAGGTTGTCAGTTAGCATACATATGTGTTAAGCACATTTTAAACTTATCAGTTAGCATACATATGTTATCAGTTAGCATACATCATGATCATATAACTTTCATTTCATACGAAATCATGATAATCAACAGCTTTTAAAAAGCTTTTACAAGTACAACATCACACACCTCACTACATTACATTATTTGCCTTTCAACCACACTGAAACAATAATAACCACAACACACATAAAGCACATTACTGTAATGCAGTTACTACGTTTTGTCTTCTTCTTCTGTGGTTTGAACCAGTTTGTCTCCAATGTTTCAACCTTCAATTCCAATGAATGGATTTTTTCTTCATAGCCATTCAGTTTTTTCAGTAATCCTGGGATTACTTTTTGAGACCTTTTGCACATCGGAGGGTCAAACCACTCCATCAAACCACAACCTTCAAATATCTGCAAGAACATATATATTTTCCAATTCAGCCAACGAATATAGAATTTCAAAATATTTCATATATTACAACTATATATAACCTGACTTCCAATGCATTTCCAAAATCTTCTCCCACAGTTCTCTGGTTTCCAAGTTGTCAACATCTTCATTCGTTGCCCACATTCACAATACTTCACCGGAATCCACTCTCCATATTCATATTGGCCCGTACAGTTTGAACTACCTGATTTTGAGCTAGACATGGCGACGGAGAAGCTATGGTGAGATGCTTGTCTGCACCCACTCAAACCAGTCAAACGTTGTTGGGGGTCACAGTAGCTATGGCGAGGGAGGTATAGCGAGGGAGAAGCTATGGTTAGAGAGTCTGCGTTTATGGCCTTTAAACGTTGGAGTTAGGTTTCAAACCAATAAATGCTATTAAATGACGCAACTACCCTTCATTAATTGGTCTCCGGTAACATTTAGCCGGAATTGTGGCCGGAAGGACCACGGGTGGTTACGTGGAAAAGGTCAAGGACTACATTTGGTTAAATTGAAACTCAGGGGATTAATGTGGAAGTGGCGTAATAGTCATGGGACCAAAAGTGGAATTTTTTCTTACGTAAAACCCAAAACCTTGGACTGCACTATGGAAGATATTCAGCTGTACTTGAAGGGTATAACGACGCTAGTTGGATATCCGACATTAAGGATTCAAAGTCCACAAGTGGATATGTTTTCACTTTGGGAGGTGCAGCCGTGTCATGGAAATCCTCAAAACAAACGTTAATAGCTAGATCCACGATGGAGTCTGAGCTAATAGCCTTGGATAAGTGCACTGAAGAGGCTGAATGGCTACGCCGTTTTCTCGAGGATATTCCAAGTTGGGAAAAGCCTGTCCCTCCAATATGCATTCATTGCGATTGTCAAGCGGCAATTGGAAGGGTACAGAGCAATATGTACAATGGTAAGTCTAGACACGTTCGTCGCAGACATAACACCATTAAACAACTCCTCACAACGGGTGTTATCACTATTGACTACGTGAAGTCAAAGGATAACATAGCGGATCCGCTAACCAAGGCATTGGATAGAGAATTGTTGGATAAGTTGTCACGAGGAATCGGACTAAAGCCCATGAATTGAAAAGTTCTATAGTGGATACCCAATCTAATTGGTCCTAGGTTCAAAAGGGACAACTAAATTATAGAGCGAAGGATGGTCACTGTGGGGGTCCCGGACTCCTACCCAATCCTCGTTTAAATCAGTGACTCCCGCACGAGGTTAGCAAAAGCGTTTGCTTTAATGATTCTAAAATGTTGATCTACTCGATAACATTGGAAAAGTATGCGGGATACTCGTGAAAGAATCACCTATGTGAGAGAGAAGAGGGCCGCTTCAAAGGAGAACTGTAAAGGCTTAGTTCTTTAGAAACTCTTACAGAACCAGGACGGTGACCCATGGCCAAAACGGGCACACCCATGAGAACGGAACAAAGTTGGAAGGTTCTTGTGTAGAGATAAGTCAATGTTTACACGACGGTAGTATAGTTCAAGGACATCGAGTCTACTAGACAGCCAGTAAATAAACGTGTCTTTACAACGGAAGGTTCAAAGGATAAAACCTACCTCTCCGTATGCAAGGATCATCCGGTGAAAACAACGTGTCCTCCTATCTTCGTGTCTTTTTAAGTCTCGAAAATCAATTTTCATTCATGTGAGGGATTGTTGGAAAAATGTGTTAAAAATTGCATTAAATGGTCATTTGGGACAATTATTTGAGTTGGATCCACTTCCGATTTGGGTCGGGTCAAATTGGCTTTGGATTGTCCTTGTTAAGGGCTACAATTCGATATGTGGTACACTCAAAACGGATAACGGGTGAATGGAAATTGATTCTCGAAGTTCATTTGTTGAAATGGAAAAACTGCGAAAATGATGGGTTTCTAGTGTGTTTTATACCACACCGGAAAACTCAAGGGATTTTCACCCCCTTATAAAGGGAAGCCTCTTTTAAGGAGTTAAGATTCCTGAAGGTAAAGGCTTTCTCTTACGCGCAGGGGGGTGGTGCCGATCAAATCACGAAACGAAGAAGAAATACCGCGACTCGTGTGCGCGGGCGACTTGCGGACACGAATGCCGTCTGAAAAATCTATCACTAAATAATACGATTTAATTTTTTTTCTTCCTGTAAACGTTCCTTATTTTTTTTTCAAACTGAGAGTTCTGTTCGCAACAGAGGTGCTCGCCTTCTGTCCGCAACAGAGGTGCTCGCCTTCTGTCCGCAACAGAGGTGCTCGCCTTCTGTCCGCAACAAAGGTGCTCGCCTTCTGTCCGCAACAGAGGTGCTCGAGTTCTGGTCGCACCAGAACTGCTCCTCTTCTGTTCGCACCATAAGACCTCTGGTCGCACCAGAACTGCTCCTCTTCTGTTCGCACCATAAGACCTCTGGTCGCACCTGAACTGCTTTAGGCACTACAACCATTAAATGCCCAACGTTCTTATCCTTTAATGATGCGTTAAATTGAAAGTTTATGGACGATTCAATGTCCAACGGACTGGTCATTGATGTCCAACGTATTTTTATGGACAGTGACTAACGGACTAACGTTTGAGCACACAAATCCTCCTATAAATAGCTGGCAGGTGGTTTGCAACAACACAACACACAATACATTCCTCACGTATTTTTGAGCTCTAAAACACTTCCAGCTGCTCAGAAAATTCGTAAGTGTTCATACTGTGTTCCAGTTCACCGGAACTCTCGTTTGTGTACTCAAATGTTAGTTCGTTAGCCACCGTATCCTGGGAAACGGTCGTTGCAACGCTCCTAGCACCGTGGGAGGTGACGAATACGTTTTAAGGACATCGTGCGTAGCACGAGCTCTGGCTAGACTCTGTTCCATCTCATTTTCTGTTTTTCTTGGGCTATTTTATTTATTAATTAATTTTTATTGATTAATATTTCTTCGTTTTTTCAAAACACACCCAACAATAAAAAACAGAAAACTGATGCATCTTCCTTGTACACTCATCCTAGTTTGTTGCAAATGAAGAATGAGAGTGTGGCAAACCGTGCACTTGTTTATGACTTCTTGAGAGGGATTGGCATTATGACTGACTAGCTAATGCGGGTGTGCTGGTGAGGTACCCCGAAATATTAGGGATGAGAGTAGGTCGGGTGATCAAACCCTTTGTGGAATATCTTGAGAGTGTGGTAGGAATCCAAAGGTCAGCAGTGGCAAAGTTAGTCGAGAAAAATCCGCACATTTTAGGGTTTGGGCTCGAAGAGAGAGTTAAACCAAATGTGAAATCCCTTGAACAATTTATAGTCAGGCGAACCTCAATTCTTTCAGTCATTTTCCAATACCCTTCAATTTTAGGAATTGATCTTGAGGAAAGGCTGAAAAACCAACAAATTTCCCTCAACTCGCTTTTAGGTCTATCTCCAGAGGATTTCAGGAGAGTTATGGAGAAGATGCCGCAGGTTGTCAGTCTTAACAATGCAGCTGTGGTAAAACATGTTGATTTCCTCAAGGCATGTGGGTTTTCTTTAGAACAAGTAAGGACAATGGTCGTGGGCTGCCCCCAGTTGCTTGCTTTGAATATTGAGATCATGAAACAAAGTTTTGCTTATTTCATCGGTGAGATGGGCGGTAGGGCGTTGGATGAGTTGGTTGCTTTCCCGGCTTTCTTCTCTTACAGCCTCGAATTAACCGTGAAACCAAGGCATAGAAAGATTGCAGAAAAAGGACTAAGATGTTCCCTTGCATGGATGCTCAACTGCTCGGACGAAAAATTTGAAGACCAGATGCATTAAGACTCGTTTGGCATCGAAGAGATGGAATCAAGTCTGACATCCTTTGACATGAACGTCCTCATGCAACCCCAAAGCAACGATTCAATCTATGATGAGGATGAGGATGATGCGAGTGATAGTGATTGTAGTATAGACTAGATCATCAGACTATGATGAGGATGATGTTGATGAAACTGATAGTGATTATAGTATAGACTAGACTGTAAGGTTTTATCATTGCATAACACATTTCTGTACCGTATGTTTATGCTATTGGGTGCTTTATGTATGGAGTAATGAATGGTTGACGGTACTGCATAGAGTCTTAAACTACCAAAGTCATCAATTTGGGACCTTGAATATGCAAAGGGAAAAGGGGAACATAATGTAGTTGCAATTTGGAGGATTAGAAAATTGGTTGGTGGGGGGGGGGGGGTGATACATTGCTTCAGATTCAGTATGTTCAATTTTCATATTTTATATACTTACAAATTGATAAACTTGTAAATCACCGTCTATTCTCCAAGGCATACGGAATTATAAGGGATGGAACTAGACGGTGAGTTGGAAGTGGGAAAGATATTTCTATTTGACAGGATAGATGGCTGCTAGTTAAGGGGGAGGTATTGTTTCATCTCCAGAACCGGCATTTTTTATATGAGTGTATCATCTCTCACCAAGGAGGATAAACTGGGCTGGAATTTAGAGCGCTTAGGGTGTTATTTTCGATGGAGAAGAAGGCTACTATTTTGATTAATCCCCTTAGCCGCAGAGAGGTAAGGGATGGTTATTGGTGGACCACGAATCCCTGCAGGAAGAACACTATAAAGAGTGGGTACAACAAATTGATCACAGAGTTTACAGAATAGGGCTAGATCAGATGGACTAAAATGTGGATTTTTTTTAACCTATATCTAAAATAAAACACTTCTCTTGGATGTCAATTGCAGAGGCATTACCTACGGTTGTTAGTTTAAGGAGGCAAGTGAATATCCAAGCCAATCGAAGATTATGCAATGATGATGATGATGAAACTCATTTACATTTACATATGTATGCAGTAATCCATGGTTGACGGTACTGCATAACGTCATAAACTACCGGAATCATTAATTTGGGACCTTGAAACTGCAAAGGGGGAAAAAGGGAACATAATGTAGTTGCAATTTGGAGGATAAGAAAATTGGTTGGGCGGGGGATGATACATTGCTTCAGAATCAATATGTTCAATTTTCATATTTTATATACTTACAAATTGATAAATTAATGACCACGTTTCACATTTTTCTGTTTCTTTTAGAGCAATGCGAATTGCAAATCATCACTCTAGATACCCTTGCACCACCAACAAGTGGGATTGCCCCAACCCCGGTGCCCCTATAACCCGGCTCGGGAGACTTGTGTGGATGCACAATCTTGACCATCCCTCACAACCCCTATTACATTCTAATGTGTAAAACGAAATACAACTTTTATATTCTTATTTCTTACTCCCTCCGTCCCAATTAAACGTTCCCACACAGTTTAGGACGTTTGACTAACCATAAAGTTAATTGATCCATGTCATTAGTAGAATTATTTTTAGTAAATAAAATTTACATATTCAGAAACTACATTAAAACCGCTACAAAGCCTGATCAAGAAAATTTAAATTTGATAAAAGTTGGATATATAAAGTAAAAGATTAAGAACAATGCACGTTGACCGGAGAATAGTGGACAAGAACCTTTAAATGGGACGGAGGGAGTATAATTAAGGGTCTAACACAGTTTTCACTAATGGTCCATATAATATTTGTGTTTTCTGAAATTCGTAACTAGTAATATAAAATTTGAGTTAATCGTAGTTATAGTTCCAACAGTTCAAAACTTTAAAAAAGGATGACGCCCCATCCCCGAAAAGTCTCTTAAAATTGACTAGATAATTATATTGGATGATGTAAATTGAGCTTTGATCACACATTGATGGAAAAAGACTGGGTGGGGTTTCATCCCAAATCTTTGGTTACAGTTGAACCCGGAACTTTTTCCTTGTGACACCTTCTAACCTGGTGAGCTATGCCCCCGATACTACATTACAACTTTGGTTATACATTAATGAGATAATAGTATAGGTCATGTCCAATAATTATAGTTCCACCACTCCATGACCATTTTTACTCACTGTGTGTAAGGATTTTTATTTACCTAAATACAAGTCCATTATATTATCTAGATATTTTTAGACACATTATTTCTCCTATCCCTTGGTGATTTTAGGATTTAGTCATGTTGTGCAACCCATTTGATCCCTTTCTTAAGGACTAGTAGAACACCCGTGCGATGCACGGCCGGTGAATATTTTCCTATAAAATTGTACGTAACTACACAACACATGTACCATTGAAAGAGTCTCACGTTAGAGGAAATGCATTGAAAACCTGCGCAATGCATGGTTGGTGAAATTTCATGGGTGTAAATAATATTAATCAAATTTGAATTACAATAATAAACTTGACATAATCAAACTTGACATAAATAAGCTTGACAATTTTAATTGAATTGTTTGGAATTATACAATAATCAAGCTGACATAAAAGGAAATATATTTAATACGATTTATCAAATATTATTACACAAATTTTTATAGCCCCACAAAAGCAGGTAGCACGCACTATAAATACAGAGTATAATTTAAACATATATTACATTCCATGCTTAATGTTATAAATTACTTTTTCATACGCAACATTCCCAATTTTACTATTTGTTTCATTGTCATCGTTTGCAATGTGATTTTTTTATGTTTGGTGATTGGCTACTATTGACTCAACCAAATAAAGTCGACCATGACTAAAAATAGGACTTTTCAACAACGATCCAATCCAATTCTTTTTTTTGATTTTTATTTACAATTATGACATAATAAGTCATGTTTGGTATTGTCCCATCCGGAATTGGAATGACAAACTAACATCTAAAAGTGTTAATGAATGTTTAAGGATTAACATCTTCTGTTGCATTAACCCATGTCAAATTCATTTCTCCTAGTATTATGCTTTGGTAGTAATCCACCTTGTGATGGGCAAATAAATTTGCCAAAGAGTTTTTCCATTTCCAAGGTTTATATATATTAATCGAAGGTAAACTATTTATAATGACTAAGTAATAAGGCGAACATAAATTTATACGAATTGCATTTTTTAGACGAATTGCCTCTCTAAATGGGAAAAATAGGGGGTGCAAATATGTGAGAGTATGTTATGTCATTCTTAACTGTAGGGTGACTGATTTGGTTTGGGTTGGTTTAGTCTGGGGCTCAAATAAGTCTAAGTAAAAACATCTTAAGCAATAGGGTGACTATGCATTTATACGAATTGCCCGTGTAAATAGGAAAATCAGGGGGTATACGAATATGTGAAAAGACATTATTTCATTCTTAAATTATACTTGAATATATATTCGTGGGAAAATGTTCATATATGTCCTTATAGTATTTCAATCATGTCAGTTGAGTCCATATACCAAAAGGTAATGGTATCATTTAAGCACATTTACTTTCACAACACATTCAATCTAGCCACCTTGACTTGATAAAGTAGTTATTTCTCAAAAAATAAGCAGAACACATGTACGATGCACGATTGATGAAATTTCACTTGTGAAATTTTACTCAAATTACAAAAAAACATCTAATTTTAATTGAACCATTTAGTAATATACAATATTAAAGTATGACATAAAATGAAATATATTCAATACGATTTTTCAATGATTACGGAGTGGCACACAAATTTGTACAGTACAACAAAAAAGTAACACACAATAAAAATATAATTTGAAAACAAATTGCATTCCATGCTTAAGGTATGAAACAGTTCTTTATACAGAACATTATCGGTTTCACTTTTCGTTCTCATGTCATCGTTTGCAATGTCGTTTTTATGTTCAACAGTTGGTTACTTTTGACATGACCGTGTAAAATTGACCATGAAAAAAAACATTCTTTTCAACAACAAACCAATAAGTGATAACGAAACATGTATAAAACACTCATGCGATACACAATGGGTGAGTATTTTCAAATATCTATAAATATCCCATCTAAGGGCGAGAAAATCCAATTTGGAATTTCGAAAATCGACTGTAGTATGACGCAAATAATGTTACGGATCTAAGTTTTTATCTCACTTGGATCAATATACGAAAAAGTAACGATATCATTTAATCACATTTACTTTCATTTATTTTGAAAAACCAAACAAATTAGACTCAGGCTTTTCCGGGTTAACTTGTTTTTTTGGGTTTGGTTGTGGACCGGGGTTTAGCCAATTTAAATTTTTAACTAACTCATCCGGCATTTGATTTGGATAGCCGGGTTTTGTGTCGACCCGGTTGATCCGTGACGGCTTTTTAAACAAAGTCGAAAAATAAATATATTTCATTGAATTTCTGGTGATTATTTTTTCGGGAAATTTTTTTATATATCTGATAAATAAGATATAATGTGGCCTGTTTTCTAAATTAAATAATTAAATTTTAGGTTCAATTGAATATTTTGACAAATTTGGGGTCTTAGATTGGTGACAAATCCAGCCCAAAAAATTTGTACCCTTAAAAACGGCCCAAGGGAGTAGTTACCCACTTACCCACATAAAACATCAACGGTAACCCACAAACCAACGCCAAACATCAAACACTATCCCACGCCAGAACATGTCCCGGAATGGATGGCGTTGACTTCTCTTCTCTTGGCCGTAGGAGAATGAAGCCGATCCTCTCTTCTGCTTGACTTCTGATCTGTTTTGGTCTGATTTGGGCTGGAACGAATTACAGTCCAAGTAAAAACAACCTATGTTGTAATTCAGGGGCGGAGGGAGGGGGAGGGCCCGGCTGGGCCCTGACCCAGGGTATTTTTTTTTGTACTCCCTCCGATCCTTAATTAACTTTACACTTTCCTTTTTGGGTTGTCCCATATTAAATTTTACACTTCCTTATTTGCCTTATTTGGCAAACAAATCTACATCAAACAATGCAAAACAGTGTCGAACAGTGCCAAACAGTGTACTCTACAGTAAAGTCAAAGTGTAAATTTCATTAAGGACCGGAGGGAGTATTATATATGAATCTTTTTAAAATGTTTAGTATTGGCCCAGTACAACTTTCACTGCAGCCCAGAAAGAAAAGAACCCCAAGCTCAGAAAAGAAGCGCAGAAGCAACGTATTCCGCCAAGCGCTGAAGCATCGGAAGAAAGGAAGAACCGCAGTTCGCAGGGCCGCCAGGGCGCAGAACCTCCCTCCGCCCCTGCGCAGAACCAACGCCTATCTCCTTCCGCTCCGCCGCTCGCCGTGCGCTTCTTATCTTGACTGACTGCCGCCGTTCCTTGACTGCCTGCGGCTGACCTGCTTCTCCAGACTTGGCTCCAGTTCTCTCGAGCCTCAAGGTAAGGGTTTCAGACTTTCAGTTTTTTGCTTTTTGGTTTTTCCAATTTTTAGTTTAATTTAAGTATTTTATTTGTTATTTTAGTTTGTGTTAGTCACTTAGTGTGTTGTCATTGTGTGCTTTGAATTGTAAAATGTAAAATTAGGATTTAGGAATGTCAAATCTGATTTGTGAATTCCTCAAAATATTAATATGAATTATATGAATTCAAATAAAGTATTGATTAGTTTTTTTATTTTTTTTGCTAATTTGAGTAGATATGTCTACTCAATCATTTCATTTTCATTTACCCCCGTGCCGCAAAGGGGGTCGGATGTACGCAGTCTTACCCCTGTACTAAAGAACAGAGAGATATGGCTACTCAATCTACTTCCAAAAAATCAAAATTCACATTGCGTTCTTTATATAAGCCTAGTACAAGCCCTCAAAGTAGACAAGAGTTAAATGTCTCAATTGAAACTCCTAATATCTCATCCGCTAAGATGCACTTGAAATTGAGTGGGATACGAAAAAATGCAAAACGATAAGTGATTGGCCATTAGAGAAAAGAGATGAAATTAGACGTGCTTATTTGATGCTTGGACAAGTGATGTTAATAGCGGCGCTATAGCGCGCTATAGCGGTTTAGCGGAGCGGCAGACATGGAAGGCGCTACCAGGAGGGCTGTAGCGTGGCGTTTGTGTGTAGCGGCTATAGCGCCCGCTATAGCAGTGGTGCGGAGAAGGTTGTGGCGGCCGCACTTAAATATTAACCCACTTAAAACCCTTACACGTACGTAAAAGCTCAAAACGGCTCCAGCTTTTGAAAATACTCCGTTGATGCTCTGCGATGAGTTCTTCTCCAAGAAAGCTCTGTTTCTGCTCTGCGATTGGTTGATTGGTTCTTCTCCAACACATGCTGCCCTTCTCTTCTTTCATTCTTCTCAGTAGTATCTTTGCAACATCTTCTTCTCCAACCTTTGCTACAGACCTGCAGTGAGTCTTCTTTTCTTCTTCTCGTATGGAGTCTAGTCAGTCTACTGCCATGTTTAAGCCCACATGAGAACACCTTGACCCAGCTTGGAAGTGGAATAGTTTGACTGTTAATATATCAAAAGGGCTTAAACTCTTAAACTAAAACCTTATTTTTTATCGGGAAAATGGAAACTAATAATCCAATCTTTTAGCAGTCTTCTTACAATAGTCCCACCTTTTCATTATTCATGAATAATCTAACATTTTCACCCCATCTTCATTCACCGGTCCCTAACCGATTTATGACCTGTTATTCTAAGGTATTTTCTCATCTTTGCAAAACATTATGTGATCATAAGGTGAGAATTATGGTATAATGTTTTACAAAGATAAGAAAATAACTTGGAACAACATGTCATAAATCGGTCAGGGACCAGTGAATGAAGATGGGGTGCAAACTGCAAAGGTTGTATTATTCATGAATAATGAAAAGGTGGGACTATTGTAAGAAGATTGCTAAAAGGTTGGATTATTAGTTTCCATTTTCCCTTTTTTATTCAATGTTTTGACTTAAGATGTTTTAATCATTAATAGCATCTTTTGTTTTGCTCATGAAATTAAAGAGTATTTCTAAGTAATTTAGGATTTATGAATGTTTAGATGTTTGCCACCTTCATCGACATATATCATACTTTTTGAATTCAATATGTGTATGTAATGTATTATATATGCTTCTAGTAGTTACTTATTTATTATATTTGAAAGTAGCCTAAATAGCGGTCATCCCGCTATCCGCTATACCGCTATAGCGTTTTGGGGGCTGGCCGCTCCGCTCTGCTATCTGGGATTGACAACACTGGCTTGGACCTTATCAAGCGAAATTGAATTTTTACAACGGCCGAGTTTACAAAGATAGGATACGTCGTTTTCAAGCTACTTGGTTCAATGAATTTAATTGGTTGGAATACTCTCCAACAACACATAGGCTTATTGTTTAAAAATATTACTATGAATTTTAATGGATTTTATTCGTTATGTTCACACTATTGTCGCTTTTAAAATTGTTATATAATGTTTTTAGTGTATAGTCGGCCCAGGGTAAACATCGGTCCTTGCTCCACCCCTGTTGTAATTAGTCCGTTTGAGCATGAATTGCGTTTTGTTCTCGTTCCATTTTTTGTTGAGAGTTCGATGTTTCTTGTAAATCATCGCTGGATGGATCTAGCATGAGTGTTGCTGTTAGAGGGGTCTTCAAGGAGTGATTTGTCAGAGTAGATTGTTGGTTGCCTACCAAATTCGTTGAAGGTTGAAGCTAAGTCTCCTTTCTTTGATTTTTTTGTGCATGATTTTGTTTTGAGCTCAGGCATCAGCCCATCTGAGTGTAGGTCCGCATCAAACTGCTCAAAATGTTTTATTTTCATTGTTGAAGCACCATTCACGTGTGAATGCCTTGATTTTCTTGATAATCTGTATTTTTTATGTGCTTTTCCCCTCATAGATGCCTGAGTTGTAGTTTTTAAAAAATACACAAACTATTTGGGATTACATTACACAAATATTTTTGAAAGAAAACAGTTCAGCCATTCATTACTTTCCAAATAAGTTTATTCAAAGATATGCAGTAAATTTGTAAAACTTGTTCTTTAAAATCACAAATACGAGTTGTGTGCAGTCCTGCACTCTTGTGCACACAACCTGATAATAACCAAAAAAGAACCACTGGCTATTGTGAACATATTTATATATAATCAAAGAAACTTATTCATGTTATTTTCTCCACACAAACACATATTAATGATCATATTGAACACATGGTGAGATTCTGGAATGAATCTTTTGATGCTATTTATGAGTTTTGTTAATTTGTCAAAGATTTTTTATAGATAATATATAAGAATAACTTTTTTATGTCAATATCATTCCCCTCTTCTGCAAAACTATGATCTCTCAACACTAATACATAAAACATACTCCCTGAAACGTACTCCTTATCAGTATACATATCTTTTATCATCGACCCCATATAACTATATTAGCATTGACCCAATATTAAACGTGTTCATCTCTACTACGGAGTAATGCTCCGCTTAATATTATACTCATTAAAGAAGTTAGGGGAATTTTATCATTGTAAATGAAGAACTTTCACCGTAATATTAGCATGATACTGAAGTTAATTTGTTGGACACTGGCTGCATCTCCAATTGGTCCACTCCCAAAATTCTAAACTTCAGAGATTTTTTATGTACTTTCCCTCTAGTAGAACACCCGTGCGATGCATAGTCAACGAAAATTCCCAAAATGGCCAAAAAATTAATTATATACGGTTGACACAATAACATAAACTTGACCATGACCAGAATTAGGTTTTTTCAACAACAAACCAATAAGGAATGACGACTGTCTTTGACTTTTATTTAATATCATGACATAATAAATTATGTTTTAGTATAATCGTGTCTGGAATTGAAATGGTAAGCTAACATCTAAATGTGTTAAGAAAGGTTTGAGAATTACAACTTCTATCCCACACTAACCTCCAGTAAAATGTTTTGCTAATAATTCACCCACACGATGAATAAATAATTTTGCCAAATACTTTTCCATTCCCAAAGGTTTATATATATTAATTGAAGGTAATTAAATTATTTATAAGTGGAAAATAATTTAAATATCCCAAATTTTGATATAAGTACCCCAAACTTGCACATGTAATATATATACTTTAAACTATATATAAAAAGTTATGTTAGCCGCATAATCATATATATTACAAATGTAATTCTATGGTGTTAAGTACATAATTTAAAATACACAAAAACATTTATAAGTATGCAATTAAATATAAATTGTTCCGGATGCAATATAATTTATTTCACAAATGAAATTTTAGAATGTTAACTGCATTCTAACAAAGATTAGAGTATTTCAAATTATGTATTTATTCCAATAAATTTTGTATTTGTAAAAAAAGATAAAACCATGTGCGAAAATAATTTTTCATATAAAGTTCGGGGTATATATATTACATATGCAAGTTTGAGGTATTTATCTCACATTCCATTAAAGTTTGGGGTATTTAAATTATTTCCCTATTTATAATGAGCAAGTATTAGTGTGACTATACATTTATATGAATTGCATTTTTAGACGAATTACTTGTGTCAACAGACAAAACAGGGGGTGTGCAAAAATGTGAAAGTGTGTTATGTCTTTCTTAAATTTGTGGGAAAATGTTTAAATAGGTTCTTCAACTATTTCAAACATGTGAGTTGAGTTCCATTACGAAAAAAAAGTAATAGTCTCATTTAAACACATTTACTATCAAAACACATTCAATATAACCATCTTGACCTGCTATAGTAATTCTTACTAAAACTACGTTAAGAGAAATGATTGTTTTTTTAACCTAAAAACACATATAAATTTTAAAAAATATATAAATAAAAGTATACAAAATAGTCAAAATGTATAAATACTAAAAGACGTTTAAAATAAATAAAATACATGAAAATGTATATAATATAAAACTACAATATAGATTTCTAAGAAAGTAGAATATACTTCGAGTGTGGCATTTATCTCCTCAGTGTATCTCTCTCATCTTTAACTTAAAGTCTTCTTCCTCAACACTCACCCTAAAATCAACCAACCGATCGAGCTTCTCTTATTATAAGGTTTGCCACATCTATTTTATCGGAGTCATATTTCCGATCGAATCCATAGAACTCCTTCAGTGGGGCGTTTATAGTGAACCTTATGCAGCGCCAAACACAGAAGAACTCAAATCCGTAAGTTCATCAAGTAGTAGATATTCAAGTTCATATTAATGCATTTAAAATAGATATGTTTTTTTTATGAGTCTAAAATAATCTTTTTTAACCTAAACCTTTTTATGTCAAACACCTTATAGATCAATGGCATAACTATAACACTGTAAGAAGAAAAACACAAATTTGAAACTCATTCCTATCAAGGATTTTGTCATTTAATAGAACATATACTATAATATGCAACATAGTATATACAAAATCTACAACCTTATATTTTATGGCCAAACTGACACACAGACAAACTCTAAGGGAGTGTTTGCAAACGCGCTTGCTTAAAAAAGCACTTTTTGAAATGATTTTGGAAAAAGTGATTAGTAGTAAAAGTTGATAGTGTTTGAGAAAAAAGTGATTTTGAAAAGTAAAAGTTGGTAGTGTTTGGTAAAATAAGTGCTTTTTGTGTAGTAGAAAAAGTAAAAACATTTTTCACCCAAAAGCTGAGAAGCGTTTTTTTAAGTAGAAGTTGTCACTTAAAAACATTAATTTTAGCTTTTTAAGCCAAAAGCCGAGAAACGCTTTTTTTAAGCTATTGCAAACAGACCCTAAACAAATACACGTTGCTATTCTAGGATTAGCCCATCCCTGCTTTTCTTTAGTTTTTTCCCAACCGGCCTGCAGCATCCATATGTCCTCGGTCCGTTGTGTATGTTACAGCCGACCTCCCCAAACCCACACCCAAACCACGAAACCCCTAACGGCTAACTCACCCGCTATCACAATGGTCTCCCTTCTCATATTTTGATTCTTCAATCGCATAATTTAGATATGGAATTTTCTGTAAACAACCTCTATCTCATAACTGAGTCATCAATTGAATTGGAAAACCCCCTTCGACAAATCTACGACAAAATTGAACACCCACATAGACCGACAACATATAGCAAGTGAAAATCACTAAATCTGTAAGTTGTTGTGATGTATTACTTCTCATATACTGATATACATCTAAAAACCATGTACTATAGATGTTACTGATATGTTTATTCGTTGAAACAGGATGAGTTTGGCTTTTTGAAGATGCCTAGTTCTTTGTTGGGTAGAAAGTTAAGATTCATATATTATTTTATGGCCCCTGAAATATACTTTTACTATGATATCGTAAAATATTTAACCATATTTGAACATTAAATAGTCTTGTATGCTACAAAAGCACAGTTTAATTATTCTTCTGATAAGGTTGGATATACAGAGAGAATTGTCTAGAGAATTTAGAAGGATCAGATCTGTAAGTCCCTATGTTTTCCAATTTTTTTTGTTCAATATTTGCATTATCAGTTCAAAATTACACTTTCATGTTTAATTCTGAACTAATTTCAGCTCAGCAAATATGATTATTTTTCCGCAGCCCCATATACATCGAGTATAAGGGTTTCTAGTAGATACAAAGTTAAACCAAATGCATCGCATTTAGATAATCTTAACTCAAGTCACTTTTAAGTATTCTAACTAAACTAATCTCATACATTGCATACAATTTCATAATTTTGTTTTGGTTTTGTGATGAAGTAATCTAGTATGCTGGGAATATAAAAAGAATTGAAATATTGAATGAAATATAAAAAGAGTTGAAAGCTTTCAACTATACATAATACAGATAAATTCTTTTTTACATTTCCATCAAGAAATATACATTAAACTGATGATGACCATTGTAAACATTAATAATAACTTAAAACTTCATTGCCAAAGCTATTTATGGTAGACATATTGAAGTGCATATTTCATTTAGAGAATTGACTTTTCTTCCCTTTGCTTGTGCTTTTTAAAGTTGCGTTTTCATTGTGATTGTTTCAGTATTTGGCCAACTCAAATGAATATATGGGATGTATCTGTGATTCTGTGAGCTGCTGAAATAGGATCCCCTAAGAAAATATAGCTTAGCAAAAAACATTGTGTTTGATATTGAGTGACCTGCAATTTTCATTTAGGGAATTACCTTTAGAGAACCCATGATTGGCATGGGAGCTGCCTCTTGTGGTTCAGTCATTCAAGTTCAGTCATTCATATACTCCGTATATATTTTCTGCACCCATAAAACATGAACACAACAAAGGTAAAGTGGTCACAAAGAACCTCCTCATCTTGGAAACTACATCCAAGGTTTCTTCCGACTTATTCTTATTAGCAGGAACACAAAACACCCTAAATCCTAATAGCCCTTACCTTCATGACCAATGAAGTTTTTGTGTAATTCAATTACCTGATAAATGACCACACCCCAAGTCCCAACCATGTTTCCACATTTTGAGAAGAGACTGAATTAATGGGAGCCCAAAAATGTATTTATAGCCAGAGCTGCTGTTGAGAGGAGTTGAGAGGAGAAATGCATAATCGAATTGCATGGATGGGGTGTCTTGTCACTTCCAAGATCTTTTTTCATTGAAATGTATCGTCGCAAATGGATATTTTGTACGTAGTATTTATATTTTGGCAAGGTTTTTATTCTTTATTGTGAGTGCTGTAAAAAATAATTATTTACATGATTAAGATTTAAATTCATACTCCCTCCGTCACAGTAGACTTTGTGAACTTCCCCTTTTTTATTGTCACAAAAAACTTTGCTACTTTCCTATTAAAGCAACTAATTTGTGGTTATGCATATTTCTCTCTCCTCTGCACAAATCTCAACCACACATTTTTTACTCTTGTTATTTCTCACCTACTTTGCACATGTCAAAGTTCAATGGGACGGAGGTTAGTACATTTTTTAAATTATAAAGGTGTTATTGTTCGACACCCACAATTCTTATATAAAAGTGTTTGTTTTGACTTATTAACGAAGTAAACTGCATTAACTAAAGATGCATTTTACTGCTCCGTATAAAAAAGCTTAAACAAGGATGTTTTCCTCAAGCATAGGTGCGCATAGCAATTAGGGAGGTGCGCCAAACAATTTCCAGCCAAGCATGAAGGCAATCTCACACCTTTGAAATTGAAGAAGGCAGCAGCATCTATCCACAAAGGTAAACATTTTCTTCACCCTCTTGCTTTTCGATTACCATCGTTTTTCTTCATTCCACAAAGTCAAATTTTTGCTGTTTTGTTTTCTTTATAAACGAATGTCATTTGCCTAAATAAAAATGCGTTTCCCCCCTGATTTTCATCTCTTTTTTGATGACATTTTAGAGCATAGAATGGAAAAAAGATGGACTGATTATTTCATTCTCACTTCTTAACACATAAGTATCAATGAGAAAGTGTTACTTCACATATGGCATTATCTATATATCCATCTATTATAAATATACAAAAGCAAAAAAAGTTTTCAAGGGCTTAAACATCACTATATTATACAAAAGATGGTACTTGTTTTCAATGTCTCGTCTCTCAAGTACAAAGAAAACAAGTACGGAGTACCATCTTTTGTATAATACAGTGATGTTTAAGCCCTTGAAAACTTCTTTTGCTTTTGTATATTTATAATAGATAGATATATAGACAATGCCATAATGGTAGACGGTGACGATGTGGGGTGCATTCAGCCTATATATATTAAACTATATGAATTTTATTTAGCTGCTTTTCATAATTTATTTTATGTCAATCTGATCTGGTTTTTGTTGACAGCTATTAACTTGGAAATTGGAATATGCACATTGATCCTGACATTCTTTTCTCTGATGCAGGATTTTTTCTGGAGTACAGACTTCAGAACCATGAGTCTCATAGGCTACAATGCCTTGACAAAACCAAACTTCTTTCTTGCACATTATGATATATCTGCCCTTGCAATATGTCGATCTCAATTTATTTCGCATTCAAAGAAAACTCCAATAATGAGGCTATGCTGTTCCGTTGTGAGTAGAACACTGTCTTCCAAATCTGTAACTGATCATGAAAGTCATAAGAAACAGAAAACCGATGCATCTTCCTTGTACTCTCATCCTAGTTTGTTGCAAATGAAGAATGAGAGGGTGGCAAACCGTGCACTTGTTTATGACTTCTTGAGAGGGATTGGCATTATGACTGACGAGCTAGACGGGTTAGAGCTTCCTCCCTCGGTTGAAGTCATGAGGGAGCGTTTGGACTTCCTTCACAAATTGGGACTCACAATTGAGGACATCAACAATTACCCTCTTGTCCTCGGCTGCAGTGTGAAGAAAAACATGATTCCCGTTCTTGATTACCTCGGCAAATTGGGTGTTAGGAAATCCACACTCACCGGATTTCTTCGCCGGTACCCACAAGTTCTCCATGCAAGTGTTGTAGTTGACCTTGCGCCTGTTGTCAAACACCTACAAGGTTTGGACATTAAACCGAATGACATCCCGCTGGTTCTAGAGCAGTATCCAGAAGTATTGGGATTCAAGCTTGAGGGAACAATGAGCACTTCTGTGGCATATCTTGTGGGCATTGGGGTGGCAAGAAGAGCAATTGCAGGTGTGCTTGTGAGGTACCCCGAAATATTAGGGATGCGAGTAGGTCGGGTGATCAAACCCTTTGTGGAATATCTTGAGAGTGTGGTAGGAATCCGGAGGTCAGCAGTGGCAAAGTTAGTCGAGAAAAATCCGCACATTTTAGGGTTTGGGCTCGAAGAGAGAGTTAAACCAAATGTGAAATCCCTTGAACAATTCATGGTCAGGCGAACCTCAATTCCTTCAGTCATTTTCCAATACCCTTCAATTCTAGGAATTGATCTTGAGGAAAGGTTGAAAAGCCAACAAATTTTCCTCAACTCGCTTTTAGGTCTATGTCCAGAGGATTTTGGGAGAGTTATGGAGAAGATGCCGCAGGTTGTCAGTCTTAACAATGCAGCTGTGGTAAACCATGTTGATTTCCTCAAGGCATGTGGGTTTTCTTTAGAACAAGTAAGGACAATGGTCGTGGGCTGCCCTCAGTTGCTTGCTTTGAATATTGAGATCATGAAACAAAGTTTTGCTTATTTCATTCGTGAGATGGGCGGCCGGGCGTTGGATGAGTTGGTTGCTTTCCCGGCTTTCTTCACTTACAACCTCGAATTAACTGTGAAACCAAGGCATATAAAGATTGCAGAAAAAGGACTAAGATGTTCCCTTGCATGGATGCTCAACTGCTTGGACGAGAAATTTGAAGACCGGATGCATTATGACTCGTTTGGCATAGAAGAGATGGAATCAAGTCTGACATCCTTTGACATGAATGTCCTCATGCAACCCCAAAGCGACGATTCAATCTATGATGAGGATGAGGATGATGCCAGTGATAGTGATTGTAGTATAGACTAGATCATCAGACTATGATGAGGATGATGTTGATGACACTTGAATGTATTTTTAATTTCTCACTTCACATGCTATGTTTATATTGTATCCACTATCCACTTCACATCCACCAATTAGATTTACATCATCCCTAAGGACAATCCGAAAATCTTCTCCAACACGCCTAAAACCATCCAACCATTCAACCTTCTCGATATCCATTTATTTTCCATTTGATGTTGACACTTTTGAGCGGGAATCCAATCCCCAAAAACATTTTGCTTTTAGATTATAATAGATTTATCATCTGGGTTTAGGGTTTAACATTTAATAGGTGTGATAAAAGTACTACGTATTTGGCAGCACCAAACTAGACGACAATAGGGTGGACTGGAACCGGTTCCAGGTCGAGACTTACCAGTCTTTCTCAATTATTTCCAAATTCCAAGGCCTGAGCCTGACCCGTATTAATTCGGATATGGGCCAGTTCCGGGTACTTGGGCGGGTTCAGCCCTGGTAGCGGACCTGTTATAGTTTTTCACTCAATTTCAAGCCATTACCCTCATTCCATACAACTTGACCAAATTCCTTTTTTGGTCATCTCAAATAACTTTGTCATTTTCATTTAAAGTAACAAATATGTGACTAAAATTATTTCTCTTTCATCTTCATAAATTTCAATCACACGAGTTTTACTTTATTATTTGACATGCAAGTCAACTTTGACCAAATTTTATAAGATGGAGCCACGGAGGGAGTATTAAAAAATATTGGCCAGTCTGGGATGGAAACTAGGAGCAGAACTACCCGTTCGGGTCCAAATATTGGAACCCGGGGTACCTCTTTTACCTGATCGGGTACCCGGTCTCAACCCGGGACTGAAAAAAGAACCCAATCTAATTCTGCACAGTACCATACCAATTTTGGACCGATCTGAGACCATGACCGGGTCCTTCCCTAGGGCTAGGGATGGACTAAACCAGGCCGGCCCGACCCGGAACCGGCCCGGCCCGTTACTATTTGGGCCCGGATCGAACCGGGACCGGTTGGCTGGTTCCGAGCTTTTAGCCCGTTTGGGCAGGTCGGGCGGGCCGGGCTCGGGCCCAACTTTTGGTGAACCGGCCCAGGCGATTCGGGCCGGGCCCGGTTCAATTTTTTTTGCTTTTCTAGGTTAGGGTTGGGTGTTTGGGGGGGGGGGGGTTGGGGGTGGGGGTGAAGGGGGGGGGTCGGGTGTTAATTAGAAACAAAAAAAATGAACTTGACCCGGGCCCGGCCCGGACCCGGTATCAACCCGGGCCGGTTCCGGGCTCAAATTTTTGCAAAAAAAGCCCACCCGGGTCCATCCCTACCTAGGGCGGTCAAAGAGTTACAGAGTATTTTATTTGTTATTGTAAGAATAGTTATAGTTGATAGCTGCATGATGGACAACTTTAGAATTGTTTAGGATAAATTAGTCTTGTTAAGTTCGGTAAAAAGGATGGCAAAAAGGATGGCAGTGAGACCGATCTACATATGAACTATGATGGTTACAACTGCCAACGCAGCAACGCTCATCATCACCATCACCACTGCCACTATTGGTATTTTTTGCCACCGCACCAAAGCTGCCAATACCACCGCTTCTGAAGTCCTAATGACAACAATCATCATTCACCAGTCACCACATGTTTCCACCTCCACCTCCACCTCCACCTCCACCATTGTCGATAATTGCATGCAACAATATTCACTAATGGGAAAAGAAAAGATTTAGAAAGACAAGAACATGAGCAAACAAGGCCAATGTCACTTGACTAATGAGTGTACAGTAAGTAGTATACACTATACAGCCTCAATCCATTCATCACACTACGGCACTAATAATATAACAACACATCAATTACAAGGTAAGAAACTTGAAAGAATACATCTACACCATCACAAATCATCTATTGGTCCTATTATTGAAAGAGTCTTTCCTCCATATTCCCATAAGAAACCAAATAAATCAGCAACCATATACTAAATGTAAATAGATGATACAGAAAAATACCCCCTACCTCTATTTGCAGACCATTTGGCGAGAGCTAGGCGTGAGTTAAAAAAGAAAAGAAAACAAGAAGCCGAGGGGGCTGCACTCCGAGGTCTAATGTTACAGTTCCCTGCAATATCTGAAGTAGACATAAACAGAGCTTTTATTCAGTTGGACCAAACATGGACTAATCCAAGCCTGTTCCCAGTATATATTTCATTGCGGTCTTCATCATAGAAGAGTGCAGTGATATCCTCCAGTGCTTCTGCAATGGTGCTCCTAATTCGGTGTGACCCTTTATAATTATGCCGTGTCCGACTACGTGGACTAGTATTATGACTATTATCAGAATCACTCTTTGCGTCGTCTTTGGTGGCTTTTATTTTAGCCAAGCACTTTCCTGTCAATATATTGCTCACATTGATGGAACCTGCTGCAGAGCCCAGAGTAATCTTCATGCGTTAGAAACAGATTGAAATAACAAAAGAAAGAATCTCTTAGCCCTAAGGTGTGTGTGGGTCACGGAGAATGCAAAGGGTAACGAAATATAACTATTTATTACTTAAATTGAGAAAAAACTGTGCATCAACAATATCTCAAATAAGTTTATAAAGTTAACCTTTTATTTCCCTGACATTTTCTTTGCATTCCCCTTACACGCCTTATTTCTTTATCTATCCCTGGTATTTCTGGACCCAAATGAAAATGTTGAGAAATGAAAAAAAGTATATTGAGGAAACTTATTCTCCTATGTTTGGTTTTATCTTGGAAAATGTAAAGCAGTATGGTAAAAGTTTATTACATATATTTATATTTCTTAGTGTGTTTATATAATAGAAAAATAAATAAAATCAATCTCAGCAATATCTAGAAACCAATTTATCGAGTTTGAACACATTTCTTATTCTCCCCAAATTTAATTTCCTTCCAATTTTCCTTGGAGTTCTAATCCAAACCTCTTAGAGTTTGTAGCTCATATTATTTATTTACTTGATAGTATTTCATTTTCCTTTGCATTATCCATGGTAAAACCAAACACAACAAATAACTCCATAGCACTCTCTTTTTCCCTAGCATTTGCCGGATTCCAAGCATATCCTTGCGCAGCTGATACCAATTTCAGATAGGTGACAAAAGATCATTGCTCATTCTTACGAACTATGCCATGCTATAGAAGATATATATGTCAATGCAATGTTCTAAAAGTCCCTGCCTAGTTGCTAGGTTTCCCTTTCCTGCATTGTGATCGTCCCCTGGGCCAGGTTGGGTTGCTGGTTCATAGCACTGGGCAATGAGCCAATCCCCTAGACCAATTACTGCATATGTTATGCAAATCCTAAAATACTAACAGAGATGGGAATAAAACTGGCCAAGTTCCATTTCTTACCACTTCCTTCTGAAAGGGGATCATCAGAATCAGCTTTGCAGTAGGAGATAATCAGGTCCTGATCACCCGTAATGTAAATGTTGTTAGTATTACAGTCAGGATGCCATAAAAGGTGATCCTCAAATGAAGTGACAAGCTCCCCACGGAAGTTCCACACAGCAACTGTTCTGTTTCTAAAAGTCAAGAACAACTGGTTCTCGTACAGAAATATGAATGCTGATGGTGTCATGAACTCAGTCCTGCTAACTTCTGTCAACTCCACATTGCGGACCTGAAATCAAATGTTTGTTAAAGTTTAGACCAAGTATTTGAATGAAGTATTGAAGACTTGAGAGGGGTGTAAGAAACTGAGCGTCTGTTTGAAACTGAAGTACAGGGGGAGAATATAAGGAGGAAAATGGGAAGGATATATATTTTGGGGGGATAATAAATGATAGACTTGAACGCATCAACTCAAAAAACTGATTCTAGATATTTGTTCAAACTATTGCGGAGGCAGAAATCTGTTTCTAATGTTTGGTTCCAGCTAAGAAAATAGAAAGGAAAACTATATTTGAATAAAAATGAAGAATTTTAATGTATTTAGATTTCTTAGTCTGGTTTGAACCAATTTTTTGCTTTCACCTATAATTTCTTTCCTTTCAAGTTTCCCCTGGATTTTCCTTCTTACTTTCTTTACCTAACATTTTAGAAGTTCCAAAAGAAAGCCTAAACACTCACATCAAGAATCTGAAGATTCTCATTCTCTTGCTTGACAAGTAGCTTTTCATTGAACTGTTCAATGAAATCCACCTTCTTATTCCGATGGAGCAGATGGTTGAACGATTTGAGAACAGATCCATCCTCAATAGAGAGAATCTTCAATGGAATATAACAACTAGCTTGGGTATATATCAACAACATGATTCCTGGGCTATTTTCCAAAAGTAACAACTACATAGCTTAAACACAATAAATTATTTACAGGTAATGACACTTGCAAAGTAAACACAATAATCTTCATTATGCCCAGTGAGAATAAAATACAGACATGAATCAGCTGAACTGCATATCCTTAAGAACTGCAAACTTTAATGCATTTGTAGTATGACAAAGTGACATACTAGGCTCTCTTTGGACACCTGTGTTCTTCCCACTTGTGACTGTTTTGGATGGAGAGTTTTGGAGGGCCAGGCCAATTCATAAAGGGGATGCTCAGTGCCCGTTGGCGTCCCTGCGAGGAAGGGGCCTAGTCTATATCTCATATATTTGAAATTTCATCCAATTGAAAGATTAAGTTAGTTGTGATTTCCTAATTGCATAACATTTCAATCACCTAGAATTCATTTTTACAATGTTTTTTAAGAAAAAGTGAAAGGAAGCCTAAAGGCACCGGTTATTCGGTTAAGGTGTTGTGTGACCAAGAGGTAAAGTGTTCAAGTCTTAGGAGCAGTCTCTTGTAAAAAATTGATAAGGGGAGGCTTGCCTCCCTATACAACCCTTTAGTGGGACCCTTCCTCCCCTGACCCTCACCTTGCGAGGACACCAATTTGCATCAGCTTCCTTTTATATGAAGAAAAAAATAAACCCTACAAAGGTTTCCCTTCCAAAACCATCATTACAAACACACCCTTAAGTTCCAACTAATTCCACATACATCCTGACTAACCCCGATCATATCTGATAAGATGCTTGGCCCTAGTCTGCCTCCTTGCAGACACTAAGTGCTTATAAAAAATTTACAACATTGCATTGTAGTGTCTCATGTGCACCAGATATGACCATGCAATACATACTCCAACAGTCCATGGACTAACCTGATTTTAATCTCTTGAACATCTTTATCCGATATGGAGTACAACATTATATAATTCTTCAAATCAAAAACCTTG